AGGCAACAAAAATATCCACAAATCTTCATTGTACATAGTGCTACTCCCTAATAATTTGTAGATTTGATTTATGTAAGGGCAAATTTATACTTTATAAAATACTAAAATCAAAATCACTTTCTAACAAACACTCCAACGTCAAGTATCTTGTGACCTGACGGCATCACTGCGACACTCCCAAAGAGAAGGTCACATATTTCAAGAATGTTGACATTAACATATAACATATATTATAATATGTTATAAAGCTATGCCAAGAAAAAGAAAAAAAAAGAAACACTCTAACTTTTACTCTTTAAATTAAATCACTTTTATTTCAAACCATGTCAGTTTTTACTAATAAGCACTTTTTCAAAATCAATTTAAAAACACTTCTCAAAAGTAGAAGCAAAGAGAAACATTCCCTTAATAGTAGTATGTGTCATCACAAATAATAAATTGAAAGTAAATTTAAATTACGGTTTGATCCAGTAAGATCATCTCCAAGGCATCAATAATTTCGAATTTCTTAAATTCTCGAACTTGTCACATCCAGATTACATGAATATCGACGCTCCATTCAATAAACCTGAGCTAGATTTTAGCTGGATGCACTCTTTTAGGATGTTTTTACTTGGACTGTAATTTGCTGGTCTGGTCTGGTCTGGTCTGATCTGGTCTGGTCTGGTCTGAACTGGTCTGGTCTGGTCTGGTAAGGTCTGGTTTCTTTGTATTGTTATAACTATCCAAGTCTGGTCTGGTCTGGTCTGGTCTGGACTGGTCTGGTCTGGTCTGGTCTGGGGAAAATTACAGTCCAAGTAAAAACATCCTTAACTGACATTGTTAATAAAAGATGAAAAATAAATGACTATAATTTAGTTTATAAGGGTTATTTAATCTCTTTTTTTACTATTTATAAAGACAATTATTTAGGTTTTACAAATTTAGTTTTTTTTTTAATTTGGCTAATATTAAGTGGCCTTATTTTGAGCGTAGCATATATTTTTTGCTTTATAGCAGATATGGAGCCAAAGATTCACTATTTTTTGACTTGGAAATATGATGGAATAAAGCAAAATGATCCCCTAAACTATTTGCGCTTCTTTATTATGAAGTAGTAGTCAGTGCATGCAATTTTCGACGTGAATTTCGCTATGGGTCATCCGGAAACAGTCTCTCGGTGCTTTAGTACAAGGGTAAGACTGCATACATCTGACCCTCCCCTTACCCCATCATAGATGAGAGCCTTTGCGGCACTGAAGTGATGATGATGATGATGAGCGGATATGTGCATATATTGTGTACTCTATAATCTATATTGTTTTGCACACGTAGTGTAAAAGGGACAATAAATGTCGCTTTTATCCACTTTTTGCTTCAGAATATCTCCAGAATATCTACTTTTTGGTTCCATCCTAATAATAATAAGTAATATATTAATCTAGAATCTGAAAGATAGGTAAATTATCAATCCAACATCTGAAAGATGAAATGTTATTGATATATCGCCTAAATTATTGAAAACTATCAATCTAGAACCTAAAATTCCATAGGATTTGATTTATTTATTTTTTATTAACTCCGTTGTTAATTTTTGATAATTTCTTCTTCACAAAATATTTATTAATTTAATTAAAGTAAAATACTCCCTCCGCCCCTTAAAACTTTGCCAACTTTCCATTTTGGGATGTTCCACTAACTTTGTCAATTTCCCTTTTAAGTAAAGAATTTGTGGTTCCAGTTAATTCTGTCTCCTTTGGACAAACCTCAATCACACAGTTTTTACTTTATTAATTCCCGTGCCGGTCAAACTTGGCAAAGTTATTAGGGACGGAGGGAGTAATACTTTAAAATTTTAAAATAAAAACTATAGTAAAATCATGACAACTTGAGTCATAAATTGATAGTGTTTGATCATTCGGACCACACAGTGACACATATATTTCATCTTTTAAATTCGGAATTGATAGCTCATCTATCTTTCCAGTTTTGAATAGACAAAATTCTAAATAATAATCATGAGTGTTATTATTGATATTAACATATTACCAAGTTTTACACGGTGATTTCCAACATTAAAATTCCTTTCAGCTATAACATATGAGTATTATTTAATTAATTAATTTACGGTAAGTTCTCCATCATAAAGTTTGCAATGAAACACGTAATATTTTGCTGTTTTAGTAATGGTTCTAATTAGCTTAACAGGTTTTATAATAAGAATAAGGATGTTTTTACTTGGACTGTAATTTGCAGTTCTGGTCTGGTCTGATCTGGTTTAAACTAATCTGGTTGGTCTGGTTTCTTTGTATTTTTATAACTACCAAGTCTGGTCTGGTTTGGTCTGGTCTGATATGGGACAAATTACCGTCCAAGTAAAAACATTCTAATAATAATTCTACAGTTTTTTAATTAAGGTCTCAAAAGTGATTGCTAGATGATTATCCGTAATTGACTGTCAAATCTTATGAGATGTGCCGATATATGTGTAAATTAAATTTGGCAATAAATGCTACTCCATAATAATACGAAGTAATTTCCTAAAGATGCACTTTCTTTGTTTACAAATTAATACGTAGTATTCCGTAACAATAATTGATATTACCATGTTTATACACGGTGATTTCCATCTTTATTTTCGGAATGAACTCTTGGGCGTGGGCGGGATCTCATTTTAGCATTGCACATTAACGGCTTGTTTGGCCATCAGCGATTAGCGGTTAGCGGTTAGCGGATTATGTTGGCGGGATGTAAATAACGGATTGAGTCAGCGGATTTGACCAGTGGATTAAATTGACGGGTCGCAGGAAGATGTTTGGTAACTTAGCTGTTTAATTTTAACGGTTAGTAGATAAAAAGACAAAAAAAGGACATTAATCCAATTTTGTGTATATAGATATAGATAACCAAACTGAAATCGGGCAATAAAACCCAATACTTATTATTTATAATAATCGTGAGTATTTGATGCACAAAAACCATACGGAGTACATCCCAACTCATCCACACAAACGGAGAAAATAATCAATATAAAATTTCAATAGCTTAGTGAAAACGAAGAGCAATTTACCTATTAGAACTCAAACACGACAACGACAGTAAGAATAGAATGGCCCGCACAGAGTATTAACAGAGCTCTTCCATGAGCATCAAAGTCAGGCACATCTTGACGGAGAAGATGACCTTTAATTTCTCGGGTCGGATCGACCTGTCTGCGTGACAAAAGCTAAGGAAGAGATTTTGTTTAAAAGAGGGAAGGTCTGCAGAAGCTTGGGATAATTTTCCTGAAGAAGAACGGGAAGGTGCGAAAGTGGAGAATAGGGAGGGTAAGATCGAAAATTAATTGCGTGTGTAGAACCCGCTGATCTTAACCGCTGCACTTTGCAGCGTTTCGTTTTTTAGCGGTTCAGGTGAAAACGCCGGATGAGAAGGTCATCTACCAAACACCTAAGTCTAGCGTTTTGACAGATAGAAAACGCTGAATTCGGTCAAACCCGCCAAAAATTGGCTGAAACGTCATTTACCAAACATTGCCTAATTCTCCATCGTGCCTTATTTGGGCGGGAATTTTCCCTCCAAGAGCTGCCCCAACTCTTTTCCTTTATATTATATAAAGATATAAAGATATCTATTATAATTATTATAATTATAATTATAATTTTTTATAATTATGATTATAATTATAATTATATTTAAATTATATATGTGTAATTACATTTCTAATTATTATAATAAAAATTAAAATTATAATTATAATTTTAGAAATATTTAAATCAGACTAGATCAGAAGGATTCAGATCAGATCGGGAACATTCAGATCAGATCAGGAACATTCAGATCAGATCAAGAACATTCAGATCAGATCAGGGACATTCAGATCAGATCAGACCAGATCAGAAAGATTCAGATCAGATCAGAAACATTCAGATCAGATCAGAACTTAAAAAATTCAGGTTTTTACAATTTTTTTAAGATTAAGCGCATAATAAATTATTCTCCCCTAGGCCTTGAAACAGACATGACTGACCTTGAATTGAAAATGACATGTTTTTAGGTAATAATAATCAGGTTGATTTGAGTATAGTTTGAGAGATAGTTTCGGCTAGTGTATAATATAATGGAGTATTTAATGATAATTGTAATGTTATGGGTGTATTAACATTAATATATGATGTTTAAGTTGTATTTATGAGAGCTATCTGCTTTGTAAAATAGAAGTGAGAAGCTTTAAATGAGACATCCAAAAGAGACAAGTGAGAACCTTTGTTTAAACGTTTATTTCATCATTGTTATATATTCAAATTTCCAAAGACTTAAATTATATTCCCTCCTCCGTTCTCTAATACTTGGCTCTCTTTCCATTTTGGGATGTTCTCTATTAGTTGTCTCCCTTTCCACTTTTGGTAAGTTTTTTCAATAAATATACTCATTTACTCTCCTTCTCTTTCCTACTTTTTCATTCTCTTTCCTACTTTTTCCTTTACACACAACTCACCGTACCTTTTATCCTACCCCTATTAATTCCATCTTAAATCTTGTGCCAAAGACTATACTCTCATCTATTAGAGAACGTAGGGAGTATAGAATTAGTGATATACAAGTGGTATTTGGTACTTTGGGATTCCGCCATAGAGTTTGTAACGAGCTTGGATAAACCTTGGCGGGGCAGGTGCTATACTCTTGAAGCATAATTGTCGTCTGTCGAGCATCCAGGAGGCTTTAGGTTAGTGCAAGGAATGTGGTTGGGATTGCGTGGATGTGGAGTCTGACGTTACATGCCATATGAGATTAAGAAATAAGAAGGGTATGGTATTAATTCGTGTGGTCCTTGCTAGTCTGATGGTTGCATGTGGTTTCATTAATTGGATTCTATTCGTTGTGCTTTGGTCCAGGGCCGGACGAGGGCATGGCTGCCCAGCCCAACCGCACAGGGCCCGGCATTTTGAAGGGTCCAAAAAAACCTAGTATTACGCCGTACATCCCGGCCCAACTTCAACTTGCGCCTAATTTCCCAGTCCATACTCGCCCATCCGCGCAAGACCACCAACCACCTGCGCACAGCGACGACTTCTCACGGAACTCAGGACGACGACAGACCACAGACCACCGCTGCTCTGGAGTAAAGCAGTGAAGGACGGAAGGAGGGCGACGAAGGACTGAGAGTTTACCTCCGCCACCAAGCGCCGGCGCCAGGCCGCCACTGCCCGCCGCGGCCCGCCTCCACAGTCCGGTACTCCGGTCAGTCCACTGATTTCACCTTTTCTGATTCATTTAGTTGCTAATTACTGGGAATTTTTGAATTATTGAATTGTTGAATTGTTGCATTTTTTTGATTTTCAGATTTTCTGATTTCATGTTTGTTGCATTGTTGTTGATTTTTTGCAGTTAAAGTAGATCATTATTTGAATTGATAATAAATGTGTTTAATAATTAAAATTTAAGAAAGTGGTATAAATATATTATTAGGTAATTTCAGGTCGATAAATTATGCTCGAAAAAAATTATGTTGTTTGTTGATAAATTAAGGTATAAATATATTACGGAGTACTATCGGTATTAGGTAACATCAGGTTGATAAATTAAGAGATTGGCATTGCAAGTTTGGTAGATGACTTTGCATCTAAATATGCTCGAAGAATGTCTCTTTTTAAATAAAATGTAAGTTATTAATGACTATTTTTATTTTTATTATTACGTTTATTAGTAACTTGTATTTTAACACAATTTACTTGTGTTGCAACTTGAAAAAAGGCCCAAAATTTATTGTTTCACAATGTCTCAATTTTCTCGGGACCGGCCCTGGCTTTGGACCATGATTTATTGAATGAAAGCTTATTTATTTCCAAAGTGGTATTTTGTATTGTCATGTAGAAGTTTTAAATCCTTAACCACTTATTGTTGGTTGAATCATGAATTCGTGAACCAAGACACCTATACTGGCTATAGTTTGTAATTAGTTTTTGTACTGTTAAAAACAAATATATCCTCAACCAGTCAACCTATAACAGACGAAACACACCTCCTATTCATCATTTGTGTGACTAAATAATCCATCAATGTAAGTTTTCAAAAGAAGGATGACAATTTGACATCCCATCTCAGATGTCCCAACACCATCCAGATAGTTATACGGGGATGTAAATTAAGCTTTGACCACAAATATTTAGATAGTGTAGGCTTCAAGCCAAGTTTATTGGAAGTACCCAACATGTACGGATGTACCCATCTGTTAAGAACTTAAGATTTACATCCAAAGATCAACTATTTCCTCTCCAAGTCTTCAACATGTATATCAGTAAGTAATAAACCCTATTTTTATTATTCCTTGAAGCACAAGCTTTGAAAGTCTTCCTCCAGAGTTTTTTGTCAAACAGTTCTCTTGCAGCCATAAAACGCCTTCTCCTTGAGAAATTGCCTCATCGCCACAAATCGTTCCATAAGCCACCAAACCAGGCCAATCGTTCATGATTTTATCATAATTTCTTTTTGAAGGATTGAAGCATGACAACTAGCCAACTAGGTTTATGAACAACATAAACTAAAGCTATGAACTTTTTCATTTTTATGCATGTGTTGGTTGTTTGTATCTGGCATTTTAGATCATTTGAAAGCATATCAAAAACATTTAAAGCTTATCTTTTATGTATTGTCAGATGGAGAACATATATGACCCAATTGCCAACATACCAGTCATGGAAACAAATGAAACAGGATCCATAGCTGATATGGAACATTACAAGTGCACTGTTGATGATTTGTCTGTAAAGATTGATCAGGTAAGGTCTTGTGGTGCACTAAGTCTTTGTAGTGTGGTTGGGATGTTGTTGGTGTTGTTCTTGGATTAATTCTTAAACAAATGTAAATGGATGCTAAGGGTATCATGATTTATAAGCCTGTATGAAAGTTGTATATTACTACATTGGCATGGATTATATACAGTTGCATTCTCTTGATATTATTTCTAGAACTTGAATGTATGGTGCCTTAGGAATTTCAAATATAAACTCCAAGTCAAAGCAATATCAAATTCAAGTTTAAGTTTGAACTTTGAAGGTTCATGGTCCAATTTGAACCTTCAAGCTTTCATGTTTAAAGTTTAAACTAACCTCAAACTCAGAAGTCATTTGAAGTTGAAGTTAATGCTCAAGTTCATATCGAGTTTTAAGCATCAAAATTTCAATTTCGAATTGTTTAAGTTAGAAGTTCAAGGGAGGTTCTGGAGAAATGAAGTTTAAAGTTCAATTGAAATTTTAAAGTTCATGTTTCAAGTATCACATTTTTAGTTATGAGTTGTTTCAACTAAAATTAAAAGGTCAAGAAGTTTCAAGATAAGTTGTAATTTGAAACTTAAAAGTCCACATTACTCATTTTCAGCTTTGAGTTGTTTTAAGTTGAAAGTTCAACTTCGTAGCTGAAGTTCAAGAGGTGTTGAAGTTTGATATTCAAGTCTCAAGTCAAGTCAAAGCATGGAGCTCATGTTGTTTATGGGCAAGTCTAAGTGAAGTTGTAGTATTGGATGCGCACATATGCTGTTTAGGTCAAAGCATGCGCACATATGTTGTGATTGAATTTAAATGTATATATATTGATAATTGTAATTAGGGCTGTGCATTAACCGGGTCGGACCGTATTTTAGACCTGAACCGGACCGGAATGACCCGGTCCGGACCGGACCGGTATTAACCGGTCCGGGTTTCGGTCCTTAGTTTTTCAAGATTCCGGGTTTCCGGTCCGGTCCGGGTCAAACCCGGAAAAAACAGGTCCGGACCGGAATAGACCGGTAACCTATTGTTCCATAAAATATATACTTCGTTTTGAATCATTAGTCAATTTATATTTGGCTTACTACTATGTTTATGGCTTATTTTTGCCTTTTGTTATATAAACGAATATATACGGAGTGTGTATTTGGTGTATAATTATTTCCTAAGTTGTTCATAATTTTATTTTATGTAGCGGGTCCTAAGTTTTTTATTGATCGTAGTTTATAGTTGTTTGATTTTTCCAAATCGCTTTTTATTTATTTCTTTATTTGCAGGTGTGTATGCAGTTTATATGTAGTATATTTTTGGACGTAATTTAGTTTTTATTACCCCACAATAAATTTTGCCAATTTAATACACAAAAGATTGTAGTTTTAATTATTGTGGGATACTAATTGTTACGATTGAATAGTTTTGAAGACTATATTCCAAAATTAATAAATGAGCTAAACAATTATTTAGTCTATTTAGCATATCCGCATATAAAATTATAGTTTGAAACAACAACAACATCCAAGTCTTATTCCTAAAAAATTTGGGGTCGGCAAAGAACACTCTAAGATAATACTCCGTATGTCTTTTTTTAAAACCGGGTCAATTAGGGTCAAACCCGGACCGGACCGGAAAATTCAGGTCTGGACCGGTCCGGACCGGTTAGATTCAGGTCCGGTCTTCGGTCCATAGAAAATGATGATTCCGGTTCCGGTCCTAACCGGTTCCGGTCCGGTCCGGTCCGGTTTTGGACCGGTGCACACCCCTAATTGTAATTCCATCTTTTCTTTTCTCCCCTAACCATTCTCGAAGTTTATAATTTTTCTATGTTAAGGTGTAGGACTTAAAGATTACTCGAATGTTTGTGTGTATGATAAACACTGGTGGTTTTTGGTCATCTCTGGCTAATATAGTATTTAAAAATTACTCTTTTGGTTGTGTTCATCTCTCTTCAATTACCTTTGGTGATTTTTGTTCATCTAATATATGGTTTAAAAATGAGTTACTATTAGTAAAGAACATGTCTGGTTTTAATTCACGAAACAAGTTTAAGTATATTGTATTCGGGAGAGACCATCTTCATGTATTTTATTATTATTATTATTATTATTATTGTTATGAGTAGTCGAACATATAAAATTATGATGCTTGTTTTATATTTGGGTTAAGCTTTATTTTAATCCATGGATGTATTTCTCTATAATAAGAGTTCAGTTTGGAGTTCAAATATTACCTTTGCAGCTTGAGCAGAGATTTGCTGAAGTTGAACAGTTCTACTCAAGTGTGAGTAAAAAGCAGTCAAACACGCCAAGAGGGGGTAACTCAGGTCAGAAGGATATTGAAAAAGAGAAGCAGATAGCTAACTTTAAAAGGCGGCAGCAAGATGCATCACGTCCAGAGGCTGCTGCTACCAAGAGGATGCAAGAGCTTATTCGTCAATTTGGCACAATATTACGTCAAGTAACGTCTCTTCTTTGAAAGGGTTTTTGGTGATTCTTTGCTCTTATTTGTTTCTATTATAAATTTATCTGTGGCTACTTGATGATGCTGTGTAAGAAAACTGGAGTTAAAGAACCAAACCAATCATGATGTTTGAATTTAGAAACACTTAAATTCAAATTCAAAGGTTTTGTATGACGAATGCAGACGTCTGCTGAAATATCAATGATTGATGCTAGAAACTTCAAATGGTTTTACACCATAGCTGTATTAAGTTGGCATTTTCACATCTTACATAACAGAAAAAGGACTGTGATTCCCCTTTTATAGGTGCAGATAGGGCAGGATGTTGAAAAGAGCATAGGCTTCACCGTTAGAAGTTTGAACACTGTGAACTGTGTGAAGAAATAACTTAAACAGTGTCCTTTGCACTTTTGGAGGGCGAATATTCATGTCGAGGATTGATCTCTTTTCTCTCTTTTTTTCCTTCTATCTTGTTATCTTTCTTATGTTCCTTGTCCTTTTATCCCTTTTATTTTATATATATTCTTTTTATCCTTTTTATCTTTTCATTTTTATCGTTATGACGTTATCTTATATTTACCTTTATCTTATCCATTTTATCCTACCTTATCTTTTGAATTAATTCCACTTTTGGTCCTACGAGTTTTAAGTCATTTCCACGTTTATTCCACGTATTTCACTTTGGCCACTTTTGGTAGTTTTCTGATGCCTCTCTGGCGATTTTGACCACCGGAAATATCAAAGGTAAGGACCATGTATTGGCGAAAAACAGTAGCCATGTACCAAAAGTGGTCAAAGTCAAAGACGTGGACTTATTGTGGAATTCGTGCGATACTTGTAGGACCAAAAGTGAAATTTATTCGTATTTTTTTATCTTTCTTATCTTTCTTTTCTTTTTGGCTCCGATATCATAAATCAATTCATGTTAGCCGACCCCAAAATCTTTTGGGACTAGGGCCTTGGATGTTGTTGTAGTGTTCTTTGCACTTGGGTTCATAAAGTTTTTAACGTTTTTCCTAATATTCAATGACTCCAATATAATTCTAAGAAAATAAGGTTAGTATCAATCTGGTCTGGAACTTTATTTTTCTGGTCATAGACTCATAGCTTAATTACTCAAGAGAATAAGGTTAGTATCAATTAAGATGTATGTTGTGTCAAATACTCAAGTTTAACCAAATGAAAGAAAAAATATATATTTACACTATTTCACACTGAAGGCAGAATGCATTTGTTTGCCATTAACATTTATTTTTTCCTATCTCTTGTTTGTCAGATCACTCAGCACAAATGGGCAGGGCCTTTTATGCAGCCGGTTGACGTTGTTGGTCTTGGTTTGAACGACTACTATGATGTAATGACTGCAAACTGTTTTGCTTTTATTGTCCATGTATAGAATACCAATTATATTTAAATGAAAATGACTGTAAATTGTAACCAATTATACTAATTTTGAACATCTCTTTGCTGATTTATTGTCCTTGCAATTTGTCAGGTTATTGAGAAGCCAATGGATTTTAGCACAATTAAAAACAAAATGGAGGTCAAGGATGGTACAGGATATAAACACGTCAGAGAGATATGTGCAGATGTGCGGCTGATATTTAAAAATGCAATGAAATACAATGAGGAAAGGGATGATGTTCATGTGATGGCGAAAACCTTACTGGAAAAGTTTGAGGATAAATGGCTGCAACTTTTGCCAAAAGTTGATGAAGAGGTACAGATGATATTCCTTGAAGAGTGGAGTTTCTGATTTGGTGTCGGTACTTCCATCCTAATCTATAATGTCCTACTCGAAACAACTCAAAACTGGGAAGCAAACAATATCTAAACCGCTCACAAACTAGAAATATTATCCAGTATTCCAATCTGGCTAAGAGAATACTTAAAAGCTTTTGGCTTCTCGAGTCACATTTCATATTTTGATTCTTAGAAGTATCATTTGTAGGAAGAGAAGAGAAAGAAAGAGGAGGAAGAGGCTCAATTAGATATGAAACTTGCTCAAGAGGCTGCTCATGCTAAGATGGCCAAGGATTTAAGTATAGAGGTACATATTTCGGTTCCCTCTCACCCAGGAAATAATGGATGCTTCAAAATCTCCGTGATATGTGGCCTACTTCAGCATGTACCTTATTCTCTCACAGTAGTCTATATCCATTCAAAGTGCCATTTTCATTTTATTTTGTAGCTTGATGATATTGACATGCACCTGGAAGAACTTAGAGAGGCGGTGCTTCAGAAATGCAGGTTTGGAGAACTTTTATTGTAGATTATTATATACTTGTAACATACAGAGAGATTCTGTTCTGCCGAATTCCTATCTACTATCATTTTTTTACAGATTAGTTTTGAGTGATACTAGCAGGCTTTTTTGCCATTTTTTAGTTTCTGTGCTATATGGTGGCAATTTTGGATAAAATAAGTTTGCAGGCTTGTGCATCTAAAATTTTGTAACCTGTTGGCTGGGTTATTTTGCTCATATTAATAACCTTATCCATTTTAAACATTTTGGTGCATCAGAACCATAGATAGCCAACCTCAAAGTGATTCTCATTTGATTACAAACTCTCTTCAATACCATCATAAAGTATTATCATATTATATACTGTTGTGTAGCACAAATGTGCAAGTATTGCTTACTAACTCCAAGCGGTTCTTATTGTCAACATCAGAAAGATAACTGTTGAAGAGAAGAAAAGACTTGGCGAAGCTCTCACTAAACTTTCCTCAGAAGATCTCAACAAGGCATTATTAATTGTTGCACAGAATGATCCCAGCTTCTCCATAGCTGATGAGGAAGTAGAGCTTGACATTAGTACCCAGGTGAGGTGATAAATGAATGACAACCCCCCGGGTCCCTAAATTAGTGCCCAACTTGACTTGAACACGATTTAAGTACGTGGATACTGTGTGGCTGAAATTTAATTAGAAGAGGGAGGTAAAGTGTGAATCACATACTGCTTTCCTTAAAAGAAATGGGCAATAATTTTGGGTGCAGATGAAAAAAAAGGAAAGTATATAGATAATTTAGGGACCTGGGGTTCATGGCTGCTTCATATGCAATATGCTGTATCTTTTTTGTGGGGGATTGAAGGTGGGAATATATTGCACCCATGGAGCTGAGATGATTGATTAAATACTTCGTAATTATGCAGAGCGAGTCTACCTTATGGAAATTGAAGTTTTTTGTGCAAGATGTGTTGGAGGCTCAAGGAAAGATAACCGGTGCTACAGAAGCGAACAACAATAAAAGCAACACTGTTAACCAAGCAAACAACAAGCGCAAAAGAGAGACCAATGAGGCCCTTGTCAAAACATCACAAAAAAAGTGTAAGAAGCCTTGATCTGAAGAAGCATTTTAGGTATACAAAGCTCCCCTACATAGGAATGATGAAGAAGAAGCGTTTTGGCCTTGGCAAGTAGACATAATAGGAAATGAGCATACAGCCTTGACATCCTCAAGACAGAGCAAGTAAAATGATGGCATGAACATCTTCTATAGTATTTCAATTGGTTTCAATTATGGTTGTAGACTTGTAGAGTTGTAGTATTGATCCATCCATGTAAATATTGTCATATTAGTTGACTCAGATACTTTGCTCTCCGTTTTACTAATAGCTGTTTGTTTTATCCCTTTCACAAAGTCAATCTAATTCTATAATTTTAAAATTGGGCTTGGGACACCCTAAGAATTTACGTTTTCCTTGTAAAGGTGTGTTCATACCAAGGTAGAACTTGGGCTCCTATAGGAACAGAACTGGAATAGGCCTAGGGTAAATAAGGGATGGACTCGGGCTGGTTCGGGCCTGGGCCCGGCCGGGCCTCGGGTCTGTTTTGTTGGGCCCGAGCCCGAACCGGTGGCCACCGGTTCCGGGCCGGACCGGGCCACCCGGTTAGTTTTTTTTTTTTTTTTTTTTCCTTTTCTTTTCTCCCCCCCCCCCCCTCACCCCAAACCAGTCCTAAACATCAAGCCCAACTCAATAAAGCCCAAAAAAATGAAAAAAACAAAAAAAAACAGCTTTTGGCCTGGACCCGGGCCCGACTCGGCTGGGCCGGTTCGCCAAAAACTGTAACCGAGCTCGGAACTGCCCAAGCCCCCGGGCCTAGGCCCGAACCAGACCCGGAACCGGAAAACCAGGCCGGGCCGGTCCCGCACAGTAGCGGGCCGGGCGGCCCGAACCAAGGCCATCCCTAGGGTAAATAAAAGAATTGAGCTAGTGCCCGTGTTTCGGTCCAAACTGGAATCAGTTTAAATTGCTTCCGGTTCTCCATAATACTATAATAGGTTCAGAAGCCAACTAGTTTTGTTTTCTTCAAATAAGCTAATAACCTGAACATAAATTGGTTTATCAGTTAAGGTCTCAATTTTCAGTTATGTTGGGGGTACAAAAAAGCATATTTGAAATACTATCGATTTTTTATATTTACAAATAGTTTTTTCCAATTTTTTTGAGATATTGAACTATTAACTAGGGGTGGACCCGGGCCGGTTCCGGTTTGGGCCTGGGCCCGGCCAGGCTTTTATTTGGGAATGGTGGAACCGGAACCAGCCCGGGTGGTCGGCGGTTCCGAGCCGGGCCGGGCAAGGCCGGTTTTGGTTCAATGCTATTTTTTTTTCTTTTGGTTTTCTAAATAACCCCCCCCCCCCCCCCCTCCCCCCCAAACACCCAACCCGGTAGAAAGTAAAAAAAAAATTGTAAAAACAAAAAAAAAAAAAAAATTGGCCCAAACCAGGCCCGGACCGGCCGGTTCGCATTTTATGAGGCCCGAGCTCGCACCAGGATTAGTGCGGTTCCGGTTGGCCCGAACCGGCCCCAAGACCGGTTACCGGGCCGGGCCAAAACAATATCGGGCCGGGCGGCCCGACCCGAGTCCACCCCTACTATTCTCACTCTCTTAAGAGAGTGAGAATAAAGTGCAAATGTATGGTTGTAATTATGAGTAAGAAAAAAGTAAATGAATGATAGCAACAAAAAACTTTCCAAAAAGAAAAATGAAAACTATTTTTTGGGACGGCTCAAAAAGGAAACCGGGAACTATTTTACGGGACAGAGGGGGACAGAGGGAGTACCATTTTTCTTATAATACCTTATAAAACGTTGAACCTAAACACTACCATTCTCAGCGTTTTTCCTGTGCTTTCCCCAGTAAACACTCAGCTCATCCATTGTTAGCATACACATAATATCGGCATTTTCATCAATTGAAAATGAAAGTGAGTCAAAAAAACGTAGAGATGGGAAGTTCAACTGGGAATTTAATGTCCCTGTATAGATTGTGCTACTTTGTAGTGTGTACAAGGTCTTAAACTAAGTTATATAGATGGATGGATGGATGGATGGATGGATGGATGGATGGATGGATAGAGAAGATGAATGCACATTGAGAATGCGACACGGTCTACTGCAAGGAGTTGTAAAACAAAATCAACACTACCGAGACTCCAATGATCACGGGAAATGCAGTTACCAGGTACAGAGCTCCAAATCCCTGCATCACAATACTAAACGTCAATACTAAACAATTGCATCCAAAATCATAACCCTAATTACGATATGAGCAGACCAATCTAAAGGAGTAATTTTGGGGATTGAATGATGTGGTATCAAGGTGATTTGGATTGAATGGCTTTCTTACTTAACCCTAATTGTCTGTCTTTACTAATTACAATGGCAATTGCTTGCAATAGAAAATTAGAAACAAATCAAACAATAATGTCATTGGATGGATAAGTTGGAATTCAATAAAAAAAATCTTAGGAGTTTTGATTGGTCCAAAATCGCATGTCAATAGGCAAATGATTGGATAGCGGAAAATGGTGGGAAAATGGGAAGAAAATAAATAGCAAAGGAAAATGTGGTGGTGTATTTATATTTGGTTTTACCTTGTAAAATATATAGGAAAATCAGCTTTGATTAAATATTATCTTCTTTATCTTTCTATGCTCTTATGTTATTTTTATCCTTTATCTTTTGGGAATAAGGCTTGGATGTTGTTGTATTATTCTTAGTACATTATTAGGATTTCTTAGTATTTATATATCGAAAATAAAAAAAAGTTCGAACAAATGGCTAAAATTAAACTATCGAGTTGGAACCGTATTTTATTCTTTATGGGATATCTTTTTCCTTCATAACTTCTCAGTCTATTTTCCTCCGTCTTTTCTTTCCTCGTATTTCTGGGTCCCAAAAACCCACCCTAACTGTTAGTGCTAATAGGTTACAGGTGCAATGGAATAGGAGGGGCTGACTAACCACGACTGGAGGCACTTCTGTGTTATCACCCTCCTCATCTGCTCCCTCTATTTCAGCTGCTGAATCCCAATCAAGTGTAAGCCTCTTCACAGCAGCCACTTTTAGATCAACACCAGTGTCAGTGGCTCTTGCATACACAGATCTGTCCGGCCTCTGTTTCTTTGTAGCCTCGTTCTGTCCGACAAAAATGTCACCAGTGTAAGCAATGCAAGTCGTTTTAAGAGAATAATATATGCCTATAGATAAAACATTCCAGAAAAGAGGGATTAGTTTCTGACTAGACATTTAGTTATAGGAGTCGTGAATACATCCATACTAGAGTTTCAATATTACCAACAAGTTAGCTCACTCTTTCCGTCACAAAAGAGAGAGCTAAATCCAAAGGCATTTGGGAAATACCTCCAAATTGGGCCATGAGGTCAATTCCTCCGCCAGCATCTGAAGAGCAAGGTGATCCTTAGGTATCTTGCCTTCATTTATCTTCAAAAGAGGGAAAAGAATCTAGTGAAAACTCTGTATATTATATATAGAGAGATTCGACTATTACATTAACAGCTAAAATTTATATTTATTGGAGAAAATCTGTCCTGGTATCTGAAATTGGCAAGAATCCATATTAGTCGTTAAAGAACATGAATTTACACGTTTGAACAGTTCCTTCTTCATTTTGGCAATCTATATGCTCAACGGTCAACGGACTATTCCTTTTATTTCCTACCTACACCATTATATGCAACAACATAACTTATGAAGCCTCAGAAATGTAAAATGATTATCTGCAGGAGAAAGGTTATGATTGTAAATTGCTATCGATCATTTAATCAAGTTTTTTTACCAACAAATGCACAGGCAAATCAAATATAAATGTTTCTAGTGTCAGGTTTGTATATTCACTTCCAGAAATCCCAAAACCATGAATCTAAGCCGCTGCACTGATTGACAGAAAAATGGAGCCTGAAGAAAGCAAACTATGACTACATATTAAGTTAAAATAATCATACAGAACAACAATGCATGTAAGCTAATCCGCCATCTAGGGAGTTAGCCTCTCAATTCTCAAACACACGCAAATGTAATTAATTCAAATTATCTAAAATTCACGGAGCACGACTAATGGGGCACAGCTGGACACTGACACAAAAAGTTTTAAAAAGAATAAAAAAAGCAGACACACCAAGGGCACGTTACAATGAAATAAACAATAGAAATAAAATATAACAACATTCAAAATCTAAACATATTCTGAGCTTATATCTAAATAAATGCCACCACTAACAAGTAGTCAAGTACTCAATTAATATATAAATAAAAAGACAAAAAGTTCAGATGGTATCATACTATCCTTAATTCCTTATAAACATCCAAATTCAGCATATTGGTTAAATAGATGACACATTGTGTGTCCGCACATGTTCATTTCATGTCTTTATGATATGAGTGATGCTGCTACCACTGGACACAGTTTGCTGGGGCCTTGAGTCCTGGCTCACCCAAGCTCAGCACAAAACACTTTTACTTATGTGTAAAAATTACTGTTTACACTTATCGATGACTTGTTTTTCCGGCTCACCCTAAGTTTGGATTTTGGAGACGCCCTAGCTACGGCGCTACACCAATTGCCATTGCAAAACCCAAATTCTATTTCCCCAGAATATTATGCAGCCTCCAAATCTTGGAATAACAGTTAGTATGCATGGCAGAGCAAGAGCATTAAACATACTTCTTCTAGAGCAGAAGCCAAGTCCTCTCTGCTTGGAGCTTCATCTTCATCAATCCCTAGTAGCCTCCGCCGCTCTACATCCCTGGGGTCTTCAATCATTATTGTCAACTTAACCTGCAACAAAATCATCAGAACTGATAATGCACCTAGATTAAGCAGTTGAATCCAAGAAAAAGACAGAAGCTTTTGAGCTAATTCAAAAATATGTATGTGTTGTTTCTAGCAATAATAGTAGTAGTAGTAATAGCAGTAATACTACTAATAATATATAAAGAAAGTAAAAAAAAAAGTAATCAGAGCTTGATGGCATTGAATGCATAAAGCAATATAATTCAACACTGGACATTAACCCCATAGTAAAACTCAAAGATCCAATTCTTCTTCAAAACTCTGAATATATATTATACCACTAAGATTGGTCAAGATGGCCATCGATTATACTTGATTGGATCAACAGTTGCAGGATAGTAGACATGAATGGAAAGATGAAGAGATAAATTACTAACACACCTCACTGAACATCATATCTCTATTCTTCTTGAGGAGCTCCAGAACCTAAAACCAGAAAGACCGTTACAGCACCATTGTTGCTAATACTTCAGGGATCGCAAACAAAACAAAAAAAAAATGTATGAAAAAAAGACAGATGAAGATTTGAAGTGGGCAAGTACTCTTTTGATTTGGGAGACGTATTCAAGGACTTGGGGATCTGGGTCTTCCAAAACCTCAGTATATGCTTCATTCTCTTGGGTGGCAGTGAGGATTGAAGAAGATGTGCTGACTCCCCCCTCCCCATAAATAGGTCTTCCTACAGCGAGGCTACTTCTTCTCCTTCTACCCCGGCACGCTCTGCTGTTCCCGCTGCTTGTTAAGCTCGAAATATGGAAGGATGAGAAGGCGCCGTTTCGGAATGAGTGCTTTGTTCTATGGGTAGAGTAGAATCGTGACGAAGATGGGGTGAGTAGAAGTTGCAGAAGATGTGAGGTCATAGCTGATTGCAAACGCAGATCATGCTAGAGCACCTGGGTTCAAACGGATAACATGTCACATACCAGTAACACTTTGACTTTTACTTTGGCAATGCAGAACTTAATGGTAATTACAAACACAAATGGTACCCCAATTTATACTTTATTTTGTACACGGATAGTGTACACATTGTGGTACATATTTTTTCCCATTCTTCCTGCCATCGTCAGAATCGACGGAGCTCTGCCGGCCACCGCCGGCCACTGTCGGCCACCGCCACTGCCACCACTGGACTACCCCGCTACCAACGTCCTGCCTCGCCACCAATGGACTGTCCTGATTGTCCATTGGAGCTGGGGTGAGGGGGGCAATAATCAATTAGAATATGGGTTTCCGCCGGTCGCCGGAGTTCCGCCTCCGGCCGCCGGCCGCCGGCCGCCACCACCGCCACCAACACTCTACCCCGCCACCAACGAACTGCCCTAGTTGTCCAACGGAACTGGGGCAGGGGACGATAATTAATTAGAATAAGGGTATTAGGGATAAAAAAATAATCTTTACTCCTATTCGGGGAAGATTAGGATTTAACTTCTATTTAGGGAAATGTTTTACTCCTATACTAGAAGCAATTATACTGGGAGCAATTACTTTTTTACTCCTATACTTCTACTAGTTTCTTTTTACGCGCGGTGCGCGATTGAGTTGATGCCCTATATTTATACTCCGTATATAATGTAAATATTAACATATTTTCTAGATTGACGTTTTTGACACTTTAATCCGTTGAATAATGTACCCATGCACTTTGAAACATTTAAAAATAAATTTAGGTAGCATACTTTGGAGATGAAAAAGAGTAGGCACATAAATACATAGATTAAAAAGAACATAATTGTGGTAAACTATAACAACCAATTTTAGTAGAAAAAAAACAAAATTAAAACATACTTTGTGATAAATTATATTAACCAACCTAAGTGTTGAAGAATAAAAAACAACTTTTGTGTGACTACATTTGATATTACATGTTTGTGGAAGAGGCTGACTGATAAGCCTTATAAACCAAAAAACATGATCACCAAACAAGGTCCTAACTTTTTATTTTGCGCCTATACAACATGATAACAGCTACCTTGATCATATCAAACATAACTTAGTCACACAATGGTAGGGAACTTTATTTTTTAATCTTTAGCACTTAGCTTGGTTAATATAATTCATCACAACGTATGCTTCAATTTTGATTTTTTCTACCAAAATTGGTCTTCAGCACTTAGCTTGGTTAATATAATTCATCACATAGTATGCTTTAATTTTGTTTTTGTCTACCAAAATTGGTTGTTTTAGTTTACCACGATTGTGCTCTTTTTAATCTATGTATTTATGTGCCTACTCATTTTTTTTCAAAAGTATGATACCCAAATTTAGTTTTAAATCTTTCAAAGTGCATGTGCACATAATTCAACGGATTAAAGTGTCAAAAACGTCAATCTAGAAAGAGACCGTTTGGCAACACTGTTTTTTGGCTTATCAGCCAACTTTTTCACCAAACACGTAACTTTTGTTTTCGTGCGCTGAATTGTGTAATAAGCAGAAAAAGTAAGGTTGGAGTTACTTTTCTGGCTGTATTGGCTGAAGTTACTGTAGATGACCATTTTAGCTATTTTTTCATATAATTATTTCTTTATTTATTAATAAAATACATTTAATTTTTTTTTCTTAAATCAGCAAAATCAGCCAATGCAGCCACTTCAACCAGAACTTCATAAATTTCAGCAGAATTAGCCAAAACAGCCGATTTTGGTGCTACCAAACGGGCTCAAAATGTGTTATTATTTGCATTACATACATAATATTGAGCATCAACTAACTCAATCTCGCATTGTGCGTAAAGAAAAAGCAAGGTTGAAGTTATTTTTCTAGCTATATTGACCGAAGTTATTATAGAGAATCATTTTAGATATTTTCATACATTTTTTATTTATTTGATTATCAAAAATGTTTTAAATGTTTTTTTCATAAATCAGCAGAATTAGTCAATAGAGTCACTTCAGTCAAAATTTCAGAAGAATAAGTCAATTCAACCAATGTCAGTGTTATCAAATGAGTTCTACGTGTTTAGTGAAAAGGCCTGACAAGTCTAAAAATGCCCATGAGAAGATTTTATACTTAAACTACATTGAATGAATACCATCCATTAGGGTTTTTTACAAGAATATTACTAAAATAAATTTTATTTACATAAATATGACTATTCATTACTACAACGTAGTATTGTAGCAATTTAAGTTCAAAACTTGAACATGAATTACTATGATTTCATTACTACTCTAGTAATGAGTTATATTTTTGTAAACTATCTTTATTTTGATCATATGTAATTATTTCCATCCATTAATTAAGAACTTGGTTTAATAAAAACGAATTAAAAAATACTACTAATACGTAGTACTCCGTAAAAGGTAATGGGTCAACATTCCATATAAAGCCTTGCGTAAAACACGAAAAGAATCATGTGAATCGTTACCTACTCTTCCAATCTTTATTAAGGCCGATTAGAACTTTAATATAATGCCTTTCAACGGAGATGACCAAGAAGAGGAGAGTTTTACGGAGCATATCCGGCGAGTTAAGTCTAACGGAAAGTTGGGGATCTTTTTGGTATAAAGATATTAAATTTATCAGAGTACAATAGTGTATGCGTAGGTTTCAAACTCATTTTAGCATGTGATGACACCAACACATTTTTCATGTCTAAAAGAACCTTACCTTCATTCACCCTTATAGTTTTTTAGATATGTGGAAGTATAGGATTTACTCCTATACTGGGAGCAATTACATTTTTAAAATAAAATAGTCGTGTTTTATTCACTATATAAGATTAATTACTGCTATGATTTGACATTATCAAACTTGACAATAATTATTTCTATTTACAAAATAAATATAATAATCATATTTTGAATTTCCAATATATTCTCATTCCTATTTTGGAAACTTCCACATAACCTTTCCATCTTTTTTTGACTTTCCAAACATAAAATAGTCATATTTTAAAATTTCAAATCATATGCACTTTAGGAAAAAAAAATAGAAAATAGATTGTTTCACAATTCATAATAGTCTATTGATTTGAAAAAATCATTAGTTTTAACCATTTTGGACTTTTAGTTAATTTTAAAGTGGCTCTTACAAATATCACAGCCCGAGAATTAAGTGGACAAAACGTGGAAGCGGAGGCAGGGTTTGGACTCTCGAGGGGTTTATGTAGAGCCGCCATTAAAGCTTTCTCTTTCGCCCAAACTTCAAACCAAAATCTCTACCGCCCGTTGGGTCAGGTTGGTTGTGACTTCCGGCATTGGCACAGCTCCGCCGGGTAGAACAGTTGAAGGTAATGCATTAAAATCTGTGGGAAAAGGGGATGTTTTTGTTTCTCTCGACAGCGGGAATATTTCTTCTAGAGTCGAAATCAATGAGCTCAAGAGCGTCTAAAATGTTTTTTTCTTTTTGAGGAATTTGTTCAGAGTATTACTGCAGAAATGTTTGTAGTATGTGTATTGCAAATTTGCAATTATGAGGAATTTCATTTTGGTTGTTGTTTTGTTGTAGCTCAGAGATGAAGTACGTTTTGGTGACGGGAGGAGTGGTGAGCGGCCTGGGAAAAGGAGTAACGGCTAGTAGTATTGGCCTCATTCTTCAAGCATGCGGGCTTCGTGTCACTTCCATTAAGATCGGTCTCTCTCCACACACCATCCACTCTGTTGTTCTTGTGAATTGCTTTTCTTCAAACCTTGGTTCATATCATGTTTTACCCTCAAATGTCAAGTAAAAAGAGAAATGGGAAAGATAGTGCTGTTTAGCTTAGCTACAAGGCTGAGCTGCTTTTTTTGCGGACCTGAGGCTCAAAATGTGAACTTTTTTTTTTAACTTAGTAACAGGACGGAGCTCATCCTTAGTAACAAGACAAAGCTTATATTTTTTAGCTTTTTCCATCTTTGGTGTTTTAAGCTTTACACTCCCCCCAATAGAAGCACTTCTCATGGAACCTTTTTTTATCTTGTAAATAATTGGCTTTCCCTCTCTTCAGATCCTTACTTGAATATTGATGCTGGAACAATGTCTCCCTTTGAACATGGTGAAGTATTTGTTTTGGATGATGGTGGAGAGGTAAGAAGAGCACTTTTCTTTTGATTGCACATGTTAAACTTAGCTTGGGAAAAGGAAACATGTTGTATACCAGCACATACTATCTGACTTATCTGGTTATTTTTGTTAGATAGTAGTTCGAGTTATCTTGGTGTTTATGTTATTTCATCACCCTACTTGTTGGATAAAAGTGTTGGAGTGCTACCTATATTGCTCCAAAAACAGCTATCTCTTGCTAGATATACTTCGATACTTTCTGGAAAATCATATTAATGTCAATTAAAGGAAGAATAATAATTCAAATCTCTTTTAGTAAACCTATATGAAACCTATTGAACCTAATGCCACGTTTCTAAGCTCAATTGTATGTGGTTATACAATCTGTTTTTAATAAAACTATAAAGCAATGTATTTTATTGGTCAACATAACTTTGACTTGGTGATCTTTTAGGTGGATCTAGATCTTGGGAACTATGAACGATTCCTAGATGTGAAGTTGACACGGGACAACAATATAACCACCGGGAAAATTTACCAGGCATGTATTAACTATTAAAGTTTTTATCGGCAAAAGTCTTGTTCAAGCTGGATCAATCAAATTCTTATCTGTTTGGCTTCTCAGATAAATTAAATGACCAGTGGTTCTTATTTTCAGTCTGTTCTTGAAAAGGAAAGAAAAGGCGATTATTTGGGTAAAACTGTCATGGTATGTCACTTATTTTTGGAGTACCTACATTTTTGTCCCTTTTTCATATGGGTGCCACTTAGTTGGACATGTGATGCAACAACTCTGGTATTTAGGTCGTTCATCACATTACTGATGCCATTCAAGAATGGATTGAACGCGTAGCAGTCATACCAGTTGATGGTAAAGATGGTCCAGCTGATGTATGTATCATAGAATTGGGTGGCACTATAGGTATTATAAAAACATTTCTTCACATGGGTACAATTAATTTTTTCTTTTATTGTTTGTGGAACT